TTGATAGTAAGTAGATGCTACTAGAATTTGATCAAGACTGGCTTTACTATAAATCATCCAAAACCTTAGATGCAGTTGTTTCAGACCTTGTCCTTTCGAATGCATACGAAAACTGAACATGCTTTGAATACACTTTAATACGATTATACTAGTTTCCTAGTTAAAATAATAAACTATTTTAATTCAATGAGAAGAACTTGATGAAACCTAGTAATAATATTGAAAGCAAGGTTTAACATGACAATGGTCTGAATTTTGCTATATGATATCGAATGTTTCGTAAATACTTCTTTTCAAATAATATTAGACAGATCATTGGTTGGACGATTTGTAACACGATAGACATTATTCGTTGAGAAAAGAGTGAATCTTGTTGTGATTTCAGGATCGAAAATGCAAATTGGCATCATATACATCTCGAGTTTCGATGATACGAAGATATAATCTATGGCAACAAACCAATGTTTATTATCCAGCCAGAATATTGTTTGAAATGAAGAAATAATCAATTTCAAACTAGGAGTATTACAAGCTTTCGAAAAATCATAACTGACAAAAAATTCAAATTTAATTAACAAAGACAACTTCGTCGGAATGAATCTTTCCCATCTAGAACCATCAAATCCTAAGTTAAACTTGTATTGAAACTCAGGAATTGTTAGAGATGTCAATTGTGGATTAGTTGATCAAGTACAAGATAACACAAATATATCTTTAGTATCATTCATCATGCAATTTATCATTGCAAATGTTTGTAGATGAGGCCAATCATGAATAGAAGCATGATATTCGCTATAAGTACAAGTATTAATTCTCAGATGTATTTGTGCCAACGGCATTCGAAATGGCAAGGATCCGATTACATAATTAATTTCATCAAAAAATAGTTTTTGAAGTCCGGATTGAACGGTTGCTGACGTGAAAAGACCTATTCTAATGGCTTTCGCTGTTTGATACTCGCGAAAATGAATTACAAAAACAACTAGGGAACAGGTGGTTATGTCTTGTAATAGTTTCTCCAATGTCATACTGTCAAGTTCAATGAGAATTAATGAACAAAGCCAAGTAAATTGAATAAGGTTGAAGTGTAGAAAAAAGTCAATTTTGACATAATGATTCAATGTTGACTTCTTTGAACAAAGCCAATGACGTGGCATGTTCCAGTTGAATACAGCAACAAACATATTCGAAATCCAATTTAAAATGTAATGAATGTTAATTTTGAACCGATTATAGGTTGCACGACTTTTATAGCACTTGGTGCATACGGATCCGACTGTATATATAGTGTGCACACCACGATAATCGAAAATACAATGAAAAACCTCAATCGAAAATGATAGGAAAACTGTATTGGACAAGTAGGTAATCATGGCAGATTAAGAGAAAAAATCTGAAAGTTCAATTCGATAAAATTATCGAAATTCTCCAAGAAAATCTTTCGCTGAGTGGAATTCGACTAATATTTGAAGGGAATTCTATGAAGCATAATACCATTACTAATCCATTCTGTGTTATCCTGCTCGATAGCATGATGCCAATAAAGATCAATTGATCACGAGGCGAAAATTTTCTGCTGATATTTTTTTTAATTATTATTGTAGAATTAATAATTATTCAACTTTAAGAACATCACCAACTAAACTTAAATTTCTTTTTCTTCAAAAACTTTTTCTCCTAGATAACATAAAAGAGCACATTTTATTTGCCTTGGCCTATGTACTTAGACTTCCGTTGATTCATTCGTATAACAACGGGGAATACTATTTTATATTATGCCAATATGCAAAGGTGAGAAGAAGATTGCTAGCAAAACAAAACTGAGAAATTCAAGCATTTCGGTTTCTTCTGTATCAGGGGGTGTGGGTGTGAGCATCCCATACGAAAACGACGACTACCAACACTCATGCCAACACCCACATCTAGATGATCTGAATACAGTAAAAAGTGAATTATTGCATTCTCCAAGATATTGTTTGATCCGACAGCATCTTTTGAACAGGTTCCTCGAGAATTAAGTGGTGTGTTCTTCATTGAGATCGTAAATTAGACACAAGTATTAAAAACACTCTATGTTTCATATTCACCTTTCATTTATTAAATAGACTCAATAGAATCTCCACCAGAAACCCTATGAAAAATACTATTAGTATTCATTCAACTTCAAAATTGCATGAAAACTGGGGTACAAAACGTAAACAGCATCTAGATGACCATGATTGTTTATCAACTTCTCTCTTAGTTCAAACTTGTTCGATTTTTAGTGACTCAGCTTCCATCTTTTTCTGGATATGCTTTATAAATGATTTTCATTGAGCTTTCTTCTTCAAGAATAGATGGCAATAAAGAGAAAATTTATAGAAACATGTAGTGCTAAAGTAGCAAAGCTGTAGTCTTACGACATTAGGGTAACCATTTAGGAGTAGATATATTTGGTCGAATGCTTAATTGAACTGTTAGAGTACCAGAAAAGTGAACGCGATATCAATTATAGTATACAATCAAAAATATCACTGCTAATTATACATTACATAAGTTCATACTAGAATTATATGAATTTCATGAGTCATCATAATCTGTTGCCTATGAGTTTTACTTTTTCATCTTGGTAACTTTCTAGAATCTTACAAGTGTGGCATTCTTAAACGAAATAAAAAATAAAGCAATAAATAATAATAAGGTTATGTTGTCAGTAAGTCTTTTGTTTGGTAAAAAAAAGTGAATTTTTCGTTTTCCCTCCTGACGATGATATAAGAAAAATAAAGTGTTCGATTGTATTGAGATAAACCACAAACACAAAATTGCCGATTGCATTCATGGTATATATAACTTCTATAAAATATGAAACAGGATGTTTCATATGGCATATTTCATTCAGGCACACTTACACATATCATCTTTTAAAGAATTGAATGTAAAAATGCTTGCGCTAATCCGATTTTAATGTGGTATCATTCAAGTCGTTCGAATTCATTCAAGAGCTGTAATCTCTCGCTTGTTCTTATATGCTTATCGAAAATGCTTATGAAATAGCTCTTATGAGGAATCAACAAAAAAGAAAATTACATCAGACACTCGAATATGTTTTTATATATCGCTAGATGACTTAGCATTGGGAAGAAGAACGCAAACGTCTATCATGTAATTATCTCAGTTTTTTCTCTCTTACGATATTATTTCGTAATTTTGTCTGAATGATTTCATTCAAAAAAATGAGAAAAGCTCCTGGATGGATTCGAACCATCTATCCTCCAGTTAGAAGCCGGATGCGTTTCCACTTACGCCACAAGAGCACGATTGAATAATCGGCTGTATTAAAAAACATCTTTACGAAATCTATCAACATAAAGATGTAATTTGAAATAAAACAAAATCTACTCTACATAAAACTTATTCTGTTTTGTTACATGAAAAATCACAAGTAATCTCGATTGTCAAGTGTACAGTCGGAGAAAGTGAGAAATATGAGGAAAAACTTTAGCTCAAAAAAGGTAAGTACGAGACACTACTAGAAACTTTTCAAGGGTCATATCTACACTAATGTATGTTGTTTCAACTAGAGGGTATCTGGTAAAAATTATTCTTTTGATAACATTGGGCCTTATCTCTTCATAATTTTAAAAAGTTGATTCGAATTGAAACCCTATCTGCCCAATTTGACTCGATCGTTGAGTAATCTTAAGAATGCAGCGTGACATATAAGACAAAAGCGTATGCTTTAAATGTGTCCATGTTGGTCAGTATCGATGCTTCATTTAATTCAATCAATGCTTGTGAATATTGTGTTCAAAGCGTAGATCTGTCATATCTGAATATTCATAATCGACCCCATCAGATTGCTTCCAACATATTCGCATCTTTTAGAATATCTTTTACTGATTTCCAAACAAAAACTCATATCGATGAACCCAACAATAACGATTCTAAGATCCAGACACATAACAAATTAATGAGAAGAATTTTGCGTGTTCCTCTAAATCGATTTTTTTTGTTCTACTTTGCCCTTTGCTCAAAATTCAGTTGAAATCCTCTCATTCGACGTTACAGAGCCGTTGTGGTGAAATGGTATCACTTCCGGTTGTGGTCCGGGCGTAAGCGGTTCAATTCCGCTCAATGGCACTTTTTTGTTTGGTTAATTTCGTTCTTGTGTTTTAAATTTATTTAAAAATTATGTAATTATTTATTAATTTCGACCAACTAGTAATTTTAGAAAACGTATGTTCTCTTAATATCAATGAATAATAAAGATGTCTCTAGGAATTCGATTCAGTTGAAATGTGCACACATCTTGGTTTTATAAGAAAAGAAAAAGTTACGTCTATATTGTAACAATATTTGCTGGTAGTTAAGTAAATTTAATTTTTCTTTTCTATGCTTCATAAGTTTATCGATCTCGGCGATATTGGGATGTTCTGATGGAAATTTACTCAAATATATTTTGAGAGCAATATTAAAGTTTTCCCAAGCGAATTCATAATTTGTTACATGAGTTATATAACAAATACCAATATTCTTGTACAACTGAACAATCTGCACGTTATCATCAGGCAGCGAGGCTACTTTAATAATTAATCATCTTTGATATGCTGGTTATTTGTAAGCACATATTGATCTCCAATAATTTCATAGGTTTCAGATAATTGTGGATGGTTTTCTGGTACTAAATTTAACTGAATTTTTAAACATTTATGAGAATATTTTAATGCTTCATCATGTTTTTGTTGCATTTGTAAAAGTTTGCTAAAACATACATAACCGTGGGTCATATCTAGACGATCATGTGTTTCAACTGTCAATGCTTCTGAGCATTCAGGTTGAAAAAATTCTGACAAAAGCATCGAAATTCGTAAATTTATGTTTGGTAAAAATAGATCATACAAAGCAGATAATATACTAATTTCTAATGAATCTAAGTGAGGAGATACACTAACAATCATATCAATTATTGTTTTGATATGAGTTTCAACTAAATGACGGTTTTCTTTGGCTGCAGCAATCAATGATAATTTGTGATAAACATTAGTAATGACTTTTTCTCTCATCCGATGATAAAGATTTTAAATCTTTTTGATAATAGTATTCAGTCTTATCAAAATATTCCATATCCAATAATATTTTTCCAATGATCTGAAAATTAATCTTTGATGATAATTTTTCTCTTTTTAATTGCGGAAAGAGTTCATATAATTTATTAGTATTTTCATCGCATAAAATTAATTTTACAGTCCAAACATGATCGACTTCATCTTCATATTGTACTGATACGATGTTGAACATAGTACCAATCATAAAGAGGAATTCTTCTTCATTTTCAAATTTACTCAAATGAGGAATATTAGCAAATGGTCTTGTTAGTAAGGATGAATAGTTATCTGATTCTATGACAAATAAAACCGACTTATGAGATGAATCCATACCCTCATTAGATAGAACAAATTCAACTGCAATTCGTTTGTTTCTACTGGTAGAAAAAAAGCATTTATAGATATGTATTGACCTACATTTTGTCAAATTTTTTCCAGTTCTTTGATAGGCATGGCTTGTCCTCTGTATGAATGGATGACCTTACCCAATATTGGATCAGAACGTTGTTCTACTAATATGATACAATAATTTAGTTTTTCATTATTTAATTGTTCATTGATATCCCCATTTAAGAAAGCGATATTTAAATAATGTATCAACATATTATGTACGTAAAGCTTTGTTCAAAAATTGATAAGTACATGGTTCTGTTGTGTATCAAAAAATTGCATCCGACGGTCTAAAAGAGTTTTTATATTCAACAAGTTTCGCATTCTGCTTATCGTTTCCAATATATTGTTGAGAAGATGTGTTTGTTTCTTAATCTTAAAAGAGCATCAATAAATAACTTCGACCATAAAACATTACCATCCAATTTTCTATGGCTATATTCTCCTTTCATTGCCTTATCCTGTTCAGATGGAGTTTGAACTATGAACATGCGTACAAGCATGCGTTCGTGTTTGTCTCGTTCTAGGTGATCATGAGTACGTTTTACAGATTGATTCTGAGAGTTTTGTAGAAATGGCTTTGATCTACATATAATAAAAATAAGAAATAATTATGAGCACTATTCGGCTATCAATGGATAAAAAAAAAGTGCCATAGTGACAAACAGTAAACCACGAAAAACTATTTCTACTCATGAAATACTCACTTTTCTGTAGCTTTTTTACTATGTTTCATGAGTCTCTTTGTCACAATCATCATAATCATAAATGGCAACTATTTTTTTAAAATCCTGTACTTTATGCAATAGTTCTTTGCCAGTTACATATTAAATAATAAGAATAATTTTCTCGCATTCCTCCTTACTGTTGATTGATTATAATAGCACTAATTGATTGGCGTAATTTCCTTTGTACTTCATGATATGTTTTGTCTGAAATAGTATTGATACTACAATACCAAAGAAGTGTAAATATACCATGGTTTCGTGGTCATGAACCACAGATATTGCTCGATTCGAATTTTTATTTCCTTTGAGATTGTTCATCGAAACAACTCGCTAATGATAGTGAGCTATTTGCCGACACTATAGTGTCGTTGTATTGCTGTTTGTTCAGCACAGAGCTGTCAACAGGCCAGTTTTTTTCAGCCTGACCTGGCCTGGTTGCCTGGCCTGACCAGGCCAGTACGAATGGCAGGCCAGGCTAAGAATAAGGTGTTTGGCATGTGACCTGACCTGGCCTGGCCTGCAGGCTTTTGAGAGACCAGAACAAGTTTATCAAATACTTAGCTACTTTCATGGATAAAATTGTACAATATGCATCAGACTTTTTTTTATTATCGCATCCTCGTCGTGGTGACATATTTCTCCTCAATTAAGATGATGAAATTGCGAACTTTTCCAAGAAATAGAAAATCAAAAGATATACTGCTGAGAAAAAATTGTCTTGCATATTGAGA